TACTTTCTTCATTTCCTCTACAAACTCTGGATAAGAATTACAAAGGTTGGACTGACTCTCCCATACAGCTGATGCCCAGGCTAGGGCGCTACCTGTAAGTAAACCTATCATATAACAAATCTTAGCTCTGTCGTTAGCATAAGTAGACGGCTGCTGCTCAAACACAAGAGAACACTGCATTATGAAAGACTTACATGTCCCTAAGGCACCTGCGTACCGCTCTGGAGTGGGAATATTAGGCTCACGTGAAGGGAGAGCGGGCTGGGCTGGAACCGGTGCTAACTCTTGTGGGGGAGCTGGATCTTCAGGAGCAGGCGGAGCAAGATGAGTTGAAACCAGGTTGAGGTGATGTCCCATCTGTGCTACGTTGGCAGCTAGTGATGCAAGGTTATCCATAACCTCTCTGAGCATCTGGTCATGCCGGCCCACGAGGACGCCTTGGTTGGAGAGAGCCTCACGAATTGGGTCCGAGCCTGCTGGGTCCATGGTGGCCAGATTGTTCTGTTAGGATTATGTTTTAAACAGGACCCAGGCGCAGGCAATGACTGGAGATGTTTAAAAGGTTTATTGTTCTGAGACTCAGGCGGGTTTGGAGACTATGGAGGTCCGGAGTGGAGGTAGGCAGTTCAGGCTGGACTGAGAACAGGGCAGGCAGGTATGGTGAAGGAAGAAGCAGGCAGGTTGGCTGGAAGCTCTGGTGGCCGATGGCTGAGGGATCGTACTGGAAGTACAAGGAGAAACTAATTACAAAAAGTACAGAATAACACGCAGACAGGATAACTGAAATGAGCAGCCAGGAGGATGCAATACCACTGGTGTAGAAAACAATCTGGCGGTGAGTTGCTGGGAGACTGGAGTAGATATGCTGTGTCTTGATTGGATTGATGAGGGACAGCTGAGCCGGTCGGCCAGGTGAGTGCAATCAGGCTGCTGCCTGCAAGGGAAACCACACCCCCTCCACACACACACAGGGGAACAAACAGGGACACACAGGGACACAGTTTGGGCCGTGACAGTATTACAATTAAATCACGGTAAAATATGTTCATTTTGTTGTAGTTGCCAGCGATTCTCTCACTAGTTTAGCATACTCAGCCCGGTTGTTGGCCCGGAAAGAACCTCGATTTTGGAGAGCCAGAAAACTGTGAAAAAGTACCCGCTAGCCGGAACTACGCCTAGTGGAAACGCAACCAAAAACGGGCCGGGCACGGCACGGCACGGCACGGCATGCTTAAACCGCGCTCGGCGCTGTAGTGGAAATGCGCCATAAGACTTGAAAAGAAAAGCACTTACAGCAAAGTGAGGAGGGGAATCTTACAATTTCAACTTTATTTATTCATTAATATATGGCGCCCTTTGTTTATGTTTATTTAGGATCCCCATTAGCTTTTGCTCTTGACAAAAGCTACTCTTCCTGGGGTCCGACACTTAAAACAATACAACAATACTCAACACAACAACATTCATGACATAAGTCCTGACATCATTAACAACATCACCAACATCATCAACAATCTCCAACATCATCAACAATCTCATCCACTTTCAACATCAAACTCAGCCAAGGATGAGTGCACCCACCAGTACAAAGCATGACATTAATTAGGGTTCACAATTCACAAGGGGTACATGCTCATTAGTAGATGGCCCTTAAATCTCTTCTTGAAAGAGGCTCTGGACTCTATTTCAGCAAGGTAGTTAGGCAATGAGTTCCATTCCTTTATAGCTCTATAAGTCACAGACGATTTCAGAAGATTGGTCCTGGGTTTAGGTGCCAGTAGATGGCCTGATGTACTGTAGCTTGTCTAGCCCTATGGTCATGCTTGTCTCTTGTGTAAACTATTTGATCATACAAATACAGTGGTTTTTTGCCAAATTGGACATTTCTGAGAAAAAGTGATAACACGAGATTGCAGACGTTTCTCAACCGGAAGCCATGATAGGTTTCTATGCATAACTCCAATATGAGTGCACTTCGAACAGTGGAGAGCTAGTCTGGCAGCCTTGTTTTGAGCCATTTGTAATTTCTGTATATGTGTTTGTGCGTACGTAAGGAAGGTCATTTGTGAATATAGAATATAACAAAGGCCCAAGCGAACTCCCCTGTGGGACCCCACACTGCAACACATTACTTTCAGAAAAGCTCCCATTGAAAAAGACTCACTGCCTTCTCCTAGCCAGGTAGCTCTCCATCCAACACATCAGAACCAAAGCCATAGCATTTGAGTTTGTTCAGCAGCAGACTGTGATCGATTACATCGAAAGCTGCGCTAAAGTCTAACATCACAGCTCCTACAAGCCTCCTATCATCCATGCTCTTTAACCAGTCGTCGGTCATTTGTGCAAGTGCTGTACTTGTAGAGTGACCATCTCTATATGCATGTTGGTAGTTCGTTGTCAGACTGTTACTGGAAAAGTAGTATTGAATTTGGGTGTATACTATTTTTTCTATTAATTTACTTAACACTGGGAGGAGACTTATAGGTCGACTATTGGAACCAGCATTGGTTTTTCTTTTATCCTTGGGTAATGGGATAACCTTGGCTTCCTTCCAGATCTCATTTTGCAAATGAGTTGATATGGGTAAGGCAGTAAAGACAGAAGGAACGGACATAATTTAAGGTCTGTTGGTGAAGCTAATATTACACCTGCCAATGTCTAATATACATAGAGTGATATATGAAGGACAACAAGAAACAGATTCTCCAGAATCCAGGCTGGGTTAATGGCTAACGGCTGTTTGGCACGAGTCCAGGGTTGAAGGAATCAGGATGTGGCAAGGTGACTAAAAATGACACAGTTGTTTTAGTTAATGTTTAATGCGTGTAATCTTTAGCACAGCGCCTTGGGAAACTAGTCAAACTTTAGTTTGAAGTGCCAAGTCCTGGGGTGCAGCTTTTGACATCAATGACATTTTTAATAATTCAATAATAATTTAAAAGAGTAACAAGGTTAAAATAACTCGATTTAACTTAATTGCACACGTTTTGCGCAAATACATAGAATGTACAAGTTGGCACATTTTATAGTGAGAGTACCGGTGCTGAATGGCGCACACTGTTGCAGGGGCTTCTCCGGAACCAACAACTTCATTTCCATGTATACCGAGTGTGTATTATATTAGTGACAATAACAAATCATGAATCCGGAAATGGATCCAGACAAACATGGATTTTGTTGTGTAATTTCTATCATTCAAAAATGGAGGTAGAGACTTGAAAATTGGACAACATAACGTTTTTTTGTATTATTTTAAGCAACACATTAAGTTGACGAAACACTCGAGTCTAATGTAATTAAAGTCAGATCCACTCGTGTCTTAGATGGGGTGCCAGTGATATCATAAAACTTAATGTACGAATTCAAACACTTTTTACCAGCTGTTCTGTATTCACCTTGCAGGTACAACTATGTGGCTCGTATCCTGGATAAAGTGTTTAAGTCATGGATGTTTAAAGTTTAACTTCTTCATATTTGTCTAACATGATAGTTTACTTTTCATTCAGGAAGTATGACGCTGCGCTGTCAGTAGTACGCTTGTCCATGTTTGTGATTGGTCAAATGTTGCTAACCACGCCCCTTTCACGTGAACGCACTCTCAGCCGGACAGAGAAACCCTGGGTTGATTTACCGAGTTGATAACCAGCGTCGTAGGACCGCTTAGCGAGATCTCGTTTGTTAGAAGCCAGATAACTCAAGAGATATCCAGGGTCTGTTGAACTGGATTCGTAGTACAGGCCACTGGTCAGGTAGTATTCAGCATGTTTATCTCATCTTCTGTACCAAAATGAACAAATATACTGTATGAGCCACGGGCCTGAACTGAAACAGATAATAATGTGGGCCATGAAACCAAAACAAAGAGCTAAAAGAAGCTAAAACACTTAAGGGAACTATAGAGTTTGCTAATGCTTGTTTTTTTGCTGGTTTGACACGAAGTGATTTCCATCCATTGTTCAAATTGAAAATAAATTATTTAAACAGCTTGAACTATTATTCATAACGATCACTACTTTCTGTATTTTTTGCTTTTTGATTCTTATGCTGATTTTTTACTTGGTATAAAGCCACATTTTAATTTGAAATAAAGGCGAACAAGTTAGACAAAACATATCCACCAAAACCAAAAACAACAGAACACAAGAGTTGGAAAAAAACCTAAAGATTTATTTGTAAAGCACTTTTCACAAAAATGCCCTTTAAACAAATTAGAGGGACTAATAACAATAAACAACAAGTTTACTAAAAATAAATAAATAAACTTTCTACAGTCCTATTTGGGTTAGTGTGTCCCATCCGCTCTGTGCGATGGCTGGAGTGTTAGAAAGGCTCTACCTCTAAAACATACACATTAACCCCTCCTGCATCCACCTCCACTGCAGTCACTACGGAAACAGCGCCGCCATTAACGTGTACTTTTGGTCCGTTGCCAGGAGGAGGGTCGACGTTAATAATACAGCACTAACCTTTTTATTGTAACTGTTACTGTGTGTGACAAAACGTATGAATGAAATTAAAAAAAACTAGCAGTTCATACGAGGATCTGTAAATGTGCTCCTTCTGTTCTTCCCCCCCCCCCCCTCTAAAAAAAAAGAAACATATCCTTCCTCTTTTATCTCTCTTCATTGACAGCAGCTTGTAGATGGAGCAACACAAGAGAAACTGACTGACCACCACAACACACACACACACACACACACACACACACCACACACACACACACACACACACACACACACACACACACACACACACACACACACACACACACACACACACACACACACACACACACACACACACACACACACACACACACACACCACATCACACACACACACACACACACACACACACACACACACACACACACACACACACACCACACACACACACACACACACACACCACACACACACACCACACACACACACACACACACACACACACACACACACACACACACACACACACACACACACACACACACACACACACACACACACACACACACACACACACACACACACACACACACACACACACACACACACACACACACACACACACATTGATCCCATAAGTGAAAATGAGATCGGTGACCCAAAAGATAATCAACAGCAGGACAAAGACCACATACTTTGAATTCTGACCCACTTTTTGTCACAAGTCATGAAAGTAAGTATTTTTACTATAAAAATGTGAAACTTAAAAAAATCTCCCACAAGATCTTCAGTCAACTTCACTCTCTCCCTACAGCAGCATATAAAGGCAGACTAGAGAGCAGAGCTAAAACTCAACAGACACGTATAGTGACAGACATGACACACTGTCGACAGAAAGCTTCATGAATATCAAACAATATTCAACTTCTACAGTACTTAAGAGCAAAAGTTGTCTCAAGGAGATTATAAGTAGAGTCTCGTTAGTTTTTTTTTAAAAAGTTCCTGGTTGCACGGATCTAGATGTATACATCTGTTTGCAGGTTAATACCACATCACAAGCTTCGTGGCCACGTACTGTAAGGCACAACTTGCTAAAAACACTTTTCTGATGAGGGATGATATTTTACATGAAACAAACACAGTTAATTCATTGAAATGCATAAAAACCTACCATAAGGGAAGTTAGTGACAAAAAATATCCGCATTAAAAAAGTCAGCAACATAACAAAAAAAACAACAAAAAAAACTTTGAAGACCGCAAAGACACAGTAGCCCCAGATGCTCGTCTTCATCAGGTCCTTATCAGCACCCTGCAGAGGGTGTGTGTATGTGTGTGTGAGAGGGAGAAGGAGTGGGTTGAAAGGGGTCGACAGAGGTCATCAACTGTGATGTCAGAGCCCCGAGGTCACTGTTGGTGCATCCGGAAAGTCAGTTTAAGACGCCTGAGGAACTACCTCCATCACCTTCTGACACAAGGCTGTGGTCGAGACTGCAAAACACACAAAAATGAAGTCGGCAATTACACACAAGTCACAATTTTCACAGTGTTAAATGTTCACAGGTGGGGAAGATGTTATACTCACAGATTCCATTCAACATCCACTTGGGTTTGCCCTTCCACCACACACCGACGAAGTAGACGGGAACTCCGGTGGCGATGATGCCGAAACCGATCGCACACTCCACTGGAGTCTTCCAGAAGGAGACGATGATGAGGAAGAGGCAGGCGAGCACGAAACTCACCGGCAGCAGAATATTTACCTGCAGGGAGAAGAGAGGGAAGAAATGTCTGACTCTTCTCCAATATAATAGAACTAGATGGCACTTGACTAAGAGACAGAACATGTATTTGAAAAACTCATCATCAATGTATTTTTCCTGACAATGTATTGGCTACTTATAATAACCAACAAACCATGTTGTGAAGACTTTTATATAGATATTTAATTTGTAAGTGTATTTCTACTCACTGTGTCAAAAAGCTTCTAGCTTCCTGCTTTTTAGACAGATAACTCTTATTTAACTATCAGTAAGAAAGAGAGTATGAGTATTTACCAATATTTTTAACTATTCCTTTTACAGCTACAAACAGTGTTTGATCCATGGAGCTGTTTATCCTATACTGCACATTTTAGTTTTCTCTTTAAGAGAATGAATCCACTAGATTCATGATAAACAGATACTTTTAACCTTAAACTTTTAAAGAGATGGATCAGTAAATCTAATTGGGTGATTGTCTGGCATCTCGGCTCCAGATCTGTTGAACAGCAGGAATGTGACAGACAAAGAAAGGAGAAAGAAATAGAGTGGGAGAGTGAAAGAGAGATGGATGTCAGCAGAGAGACAGTGCCTCCACTGTCCCACCACACACACGCACCCGTGTTCCCTCCTCGTGAGGCCCAACCTTTTTCAAACCAATAGTGGGGTCGTCACACACACACACGCCAATATAATAATCTATCCGTCTCTTTCACTTCACTGCCTCTGACAACACACAGTGTCGTGCCAGGGGGCAGATGAGTAGAATTAGGACAGCTATCATGCTCTGAAAGGAGACACACACACACAGATGCAACACAATCACACGTGAAAGCTCACACACTTACATGTGAACAAAGTGCAACAATAGCACAATGGTGTTCTGTGTTTTGGGGAGTCCTGCAGCAACTGGTTCAGTCAGGAGACATAGTGCACTTCCTTTTGTACACACGTACACACACACACCCTCCACACATTCATACACACACACTAGGCCTCAACACCAGCTGACTAGCATCCAGCCTCTCTTCTGCGCTCTTTTCATGTGAATACTGTCTGACAGTCTCAAATTGTCTGACAGTATCCACGTACTAGTACTGAGTTTTTTGTTCTATTCCAATTACATCAACTTTGGCTCACCTTGATTGGTCGCTCCAGCTCTGGCTTCTTATAACGGAGCCACATCATCCCAACGATTGCCATGGCGATGCAGAGCCAGTTGAAGAAGCTGAAGAAGTTAATGACCGAGAAGATGTCATTGGAGAAGGCGTAGAGCAGCGTCATCATGCACTGTAGACACAACAGGAAAACATTTTATTTAAATATATATCTACACATATCCCACAGAAGCATTAATGTATGCTTCATCACAGCTGTACATGTGTCTTGTGGTGCCGTTCTGGTTTAAAGAGATTTTTTCAAATTGTATTCATCTCGTGCTGTAAGGTATTGGTGTGAAAAATAAGGGTACATACAGTGAAAATGAGTGAGGGCATCGGGGTCAGCAGGGTGGGGTGGATCATGGACAGCAGACTGGGCAGGTGACCCTCCCGGGAACCCACAAAGAATAACCTGAGAGGAAGGAGAGGCATGCTTACTGAGTAGGAAGAGCAGGTGTCCTTATTTGAGCGTGCACAGCATTTTTGCAAACTGAGACATTTGATTGACAGTCGTCCTTTCGTGGCTTTATCCAATGGGTGTGTAGGAAGCTAGAGAGGACTATCATCATCTCAGAAGTTAGTGAATCAACACATGCGGCTGGGTTCAAGGGTTTGCCAACCTGTCACCATTCTTGTTGCCTATGTAACCCTACTGGCAAAAAACAGTACAAGCTACAGATATGACGGAAAGTACGACAAGCAAAAGAAGATGCAGCTGCAACAGAGTCTGGGAAAGGATTTACTCTCTGGTGAAGTCGGTGGAGAGCTTTTACCAGAAAGGTTTTTGAAATTTGAGGTTTTTTTTCAACTGCATAGGGGGGGAATGGGATTTGAAACAACACACAACATGAAAACAAGAGTACGGCTGGCTCATAAGGAACAATGTCGATCTAAAAGATAAGGTAACAGCATGTTACGGCTGTCGCCTTCCTGGTCGTCTTAACTGTGTTAACCTGTGTTAACCTGTGTTATATGCAAATGAGCTGTGCGGTTGCCCTGACGTCATTGGCTGCCATCTCCTGGTCTGCCCCCTGAAGATTGTGATTGGAGCACGCCGGGCCCGACTTACTCCAATCGCAGCGCAAAGCCGGCACACACCTGCTGGAGATGACTACAAAGCCAGTGACCAACGATCACTCTGGAGGCTCTGCTGTGAGCAGATGCCTCTCGCTAGTTGCTCTGCAGATCTGTTAACTGTGGTTAAACTTGTGTGCCCGTCTCCGTGTGATATTGTGGTTAGTAGTGTTTAGCAGGGGCGTCGCCTGGACCTGAAAACATTCGGGGCTTAGCCCACAGTGGCAGCGGCGCTACTGTGGAATTTGTTACTGCAACACTCCCCACACTCACAGTACACAATACACCCGCGACTGTTAGGCTCGATAATCATTTCACCGCATATAAGCAGGGGTAAAGTGCTATTTTTTGAGTGGGGGGTGGACCAAACCTCCTCTAGGGGGGTCCGGGGGGATGCTCCCCCGGGAAGATTTGTTTTTAAATATTGAAGTTAAAAGCATCAATCTGGTGCACTTTGAGAGCAACATTAAGAGATCTATGGATACCTCTCTCAACACCCATATGAAGCAGAACTGTAAACAGATTTACTTTTTCTTTATGGATATTTTACAAATCACTCCCCTTTTAAACTCTATTCTTGTTTTACTGCCATATAGTATTTCATAACTGTTTTTCCTTTATTCTCTTATTTATTTTATAACTATAGTGATCATATGAAGGTGTGCCGCGGAAATAATCTTTTGAATAATTTGTGACCAAACCGTTTGAGACCCACTGAGATAACTTAACTAAAGTTAAGTATCTAAACACTCAGAGAGTCCTTTAGCTCACCTGAGTCTCTCAGTCTGAGAGGAGAGGACTCTCCTCCAGCTTGTTGTGGAACAAACAGCTCCTTATGTCCGTTAGCGCAGCTAGCTTACCAGATGCTAACAACACGGTCCCTGCTGTTCTTATTATACATCCATGGCTGGCACCGGTCCCTCTCTCCCTCTCTCTCTCTCTATCTATCACACTAAATGCGCTATTGCCACACACACACAGAGCCGTGCTTGAATGACACAAGCACACGTTTATTTCCATGCAACTCTCCGATTGGTCTGGTGTCATGCCTCTGTTGCATTCACTGAACACGGGAAATTACAGTCCTGCCGTCCTCTCTTGTGTCATGATGAGGTTCACGTAAAGCACGGTTAATGTATTATATTATTGGAGGGAGAATTGTCCGGGGCTACAGAAAAAACATTCGGGGCTAAAGCCCCGAATGCCCAGGCCAGGTGACGCCACTGGTGTTTAGAGTAGCTTAGTTAGAGTGTAGAGTAGATTAGTTAGTGTTTAGAGTAGCTTAGGATTTTGTGATTGTTGCCTGTTAGTTTAGCTGTGTTTTTGTATAGAACCGTTTGGTTAGTTGTGCCACTTTTAAAGTGAGGTTTTGTTTTGTTACTATTTTGTTTATTAGTGTCTAGATCTTTGTATTTAAGTAGGCTCCCTTTCAGAGTCCTCCCTTTGTTTGGGTGCTCAGTTATGGCGCGTTTCCACTACACGGCCTCGCTCGGCCTCGCTAGGCCTCGTTAGGACTGGCTCACTTTATGGCGCACTTCCATTACAGTTCAGGAACTGGGGTAGTATCTATAGCAGGGGTCGGCAACCTTTTTGATATGAAGTGCCATTCTTAAAAAAAAATGTTATCAGCGTGCCGACGATCGTGAATTATCAACCGGGGGGGGGGGGGGGGGGAGAGGGTGTTGAAGAGCTCGACGAAAACACTCGTGAAGAGTGATGTTTAAAACTCAGTTAATGGGGCTCATTCACTGGTGCTTCCACAAACAACAACCAGCATAATTGTTACATTCAAATGAAGTAGCCTATATTATTCAAGTTTACATTAACTTTGGATAATAACACGGGGGAAATGAGCGGAAGCACTCTCTTTTCCTCTCTCCCCCTCTCTCTCTCTGACAGCCTGTCAGTATCTCATGCAGCTCACTGATCCAGTAATGAGTGACAGTGAAGAATAAATATATTTATAACTAGTTCCAAAGGTAGATCAAATAGCTAAGTGTGTTAGGTCTAACTCTTGTGTGTTCTGCTCCGCTCACCGGTCCGTCACAGCGGGTGGAGCTGCAGGATTTCTGCTTCACACACGTTGCATACCGCTATTTTATTGTCTTTTTCGGACACCTTAAAATACTGCCAGACTGGTGAAGCGATTTTGGCGAGCTTGTTTTGCCGCACACAGAGAAAAGTGTCATGTATGTTACGTCTCGCGATTGGCCTTTTTGAGTGGGGCTGCGTTGCGCGCATGGCTTCCTTCTGCAGGTAACGGGGAGACGCGCTCTGGCGGCGGTCTCGTTCAGGATCCGAAAATCAAATAAATATTTTGTACACTTATTCCACTTATTCCTAGTGTGCCACTGGTTACGGTGGCACGCGTGCCAGGGGTTGCCGACCCCTGATCTATAGTAACGCAGTGTAGGCGGAGCCGTGACGTCATCTTCAATGAGAACCCCAGAAAAACAACACAGCCGTTAGCTGTTAGCACTCAGAGCTCACAGCTCCTCATATCTGTTCAGAAACTAGACAAAAGTTAAACAAGTACAAACCACAGACTGCCTGTGTCATGGCGAATACAGTCGCTGCTTTATTTTGTCTGTATAGGCCGTTGTTGTGAGTGTGGACGGTCGGAGCATATATTGCGTTAGCTTAGCCAATCTCCATTTAGACAACACGCATTTTAAAAGGTTTTTCGCCTGCCGTCTGTCTGCAGACTTGTCAAAGCATTAATTCATGATTTTTACTAACCGGTATCAGTATGTTGTTACTTCGGCATCATTTTGAAACGTGTATTACAATTAAATCACGGTCAAATATGTCCATCTTGTTGTAGTTGTAGCCCCCTTGCCAGCGATGCTCTCTCTAGTTTAGCATACTCAGCCCGACTCAGCCTCGTTGTCTCTGGCCCTAGACCCACGATTTTATGAGGCCAGAAAAACTGTGAATTAGGACCCGCCGGCCGGGTACTAGGCCAAGTGGAAACGCAACCAAAAACGGGCCGCTGACGTCACAGCCCTCTTAAACCGTGCTCCGCGCTGTAGTGGAAACGCGCCATTAGACCCGTGCTCTTTTGGCCCTTTTGTTGTTCCAGGCTGCATGCCTGTCACTTTGTTTACCCTGCTATTTAATAAAACCCTTTATAATTATTACCAATTCCATACTGGTGCATGTTATTCCTTCTACCCTAGAGAGGGGCGTAACACAGCAGCTAAAACAATAAAAGTCGCAACTGCCTCAGTGCAGATTTGATCGGCATCGATATAAAGATAAATGAAAAGCTATAGGGGATTGATGTCCTGTCAGTCTCTTGGTGGACGAGTGGCAGGCAGCAGGCTTACACTTAAACTGCTATTTTCTAAGTTGTCAATGCAGCATGGCAACTTGGCTGTGACGAAGTGTTTCCCTTAGACGTACATGTATTGACTGTGCGGGATATCATCTTATTTAATTTTTTGTATTCTTATTTTTTTTTTGCTAATGTTTAGGAAATCGAAACTTAGATATTTTTGTTGTTTGACGTGCAATACGTCACTTGGCAGCTTTTAGGCATAATAAAAAATGTTCTGCCTGGATACGATTCTTTGTTTTCACCAGAAACTGGGCGGGGCTATCATTTGCCAGGCAGTGAGGTAGCGCTGCTCTTATTTATAGAAAGGTTTATCTTTTGGGGTTAGATGGACATTATATCGAAATCTAAAGCACCTCTCACCATCACGGTAACATGTCCCACACACATATTCTGTCTCACATGTTGCTTGTTGGCACTTGATCACTCATCACAATCATCTTTTTGTAATATTCTGTGTGTGTTTATGCAGGTTTGTTAATCAATTCCACAAGCCTGGTTAGATAGTGTGAATGTATTTACCTGGATGATGTGAACAGAGAGCCGTTGACAGATCCAAAGCAGGACAGACCTACAAACACCGGGATGATCCACGCCATGGGACCCAGGTGCTTGTTACCAAAATCCTGCAGGACACACACATAAGTTAAGTAACAAGGTGCCACCTACTCAGGGAACATTCACACACATTTAAACATCATTTGCCATGCCATCGGAAGCCATTTGGGGTCAAGTATCCTGCCCAAAAGGACACATCGACATGTTGCCTGCAGGGAGTGGGGATTGAACCACCGACTTTCTGACAAATCTACCTCTTAATTGTCAGCCACTTCAGCAAAAATCATCAGTAGATTATACCCAAATACACCATTTTCATATTTGAAATATATGTTATGTCATATATTTATGAACGGATTACTGAACGGACTGAACATAAACACGCCCAAAGTGTCCCGAACTACGGTGGTTGACAGTTGACAACACGTTACAACGGCCCAAAACATTTGCATTAGAAGAAACTCGTTGCACTTAAAAAAAAAAAAAAGGGAAATATAAAAACACACATTTGCCAAAACAATCTAATTTCCCCTCTTTGGTACGAATAAAGGTTTTCTGATTCTGATTCTGAAAACCCTCAAAACACAGTTGGCCATCACGGTCACTAGAAACGTACCTAACATTTTAGTTTTATAGGCTTATTTTAATAATGTGATTGCATGATTGCTTCCGATATATTTGAAGATCTGCTGTAAGCTAGCTAGCTAACTAAGTCATTTAAAAAATACTGACAAAATACTTACAATTAAGAGACAGAATAACTCTGTAACAGTGTCAGATGGCCAACTTCACACACGTTTCTCCTAATGAAAGTGTTTTGTGCTGTTGTAGTGTTTTTGCACGTCTCTATATGCTTTCATATATTTTTCCTTTTTATTCTTACATTTTTTTATATACCTTTTTATTCTAGTTTTTTGTCTATCTAACGCTTCTTAAGCTGTCATTGTGCTGTTGAAACAACTACATTTTCCTGCTGGGATCAATAAAAGTGATTTAAATAACTGATCAACTGATATGTACATTTATCATTTTTACCAGCTTTAAAAGGTAAGTTTATAGTAAATATCTGGAATATATATATATATATATATATATATATATATATATATATATATATATATATGGCATACTTTATACAGAGTAAGTAGCAGAAAGTAAGGGTGTACTCACCACAGCCACGGCCTCTGAGCCGAGCATCTCCTCAGGGGAGAGTGAGGTGAAGTATGCCAGGTTGGTCAGAACGTAAACTACGGTCACGATGGGCAGAGAGATGATGATGGCCCGGGGAAGGTTTCTGAAGAACATAAGCAAACATTCTTAGTAAAAACTCCAGGCTACTAATCAATGTTCTGCAAACAAGTCTGTATTTTATCATAAACGTATTCTTATGGATACTCACTTGTAAGGCTCAATCATTTCCTCAGTGACAAAATTCAGGTAGTTCCTGTAGGCAGAGCAGACAAAATGTTGAGATGTGGCCAAACAAACATAAAGTGAGATTACTAAACATCATACCACCAAACATTCGCCACCTATTGCTTAGAGGTGTTAACACGAAGTCATGTGACTGTGATGTAGTTTGTTTATAGCCTGATGTTATGCTTCTATTCCCGGCTATTGCATTTACACTTCAAAAATCATAAAGTGTTTTTTGTCGAGAGAGCCCTTGCATTGCTTACTTCTGGGTCGACCTACAACAATATGTCATCACTGCACCACTCAATGCTAAGTAGGCTTTTAAAAAAGTGAAAACTTTTAAAGACTAACCTATCTAGGCATGAATTGTGTTTAAATCAACAACTGAAGTGTAAAACCAACCATAGAAAATGTCAATTTGATATTTCGTCCTTACTGCCATGTGTAAACATTATCAGAACGTGGGACACTGTATAATGAACAGGGCAGCACAGTGGCTTGCATCCTGATAACACAGGTCCGTTGCTGTGTAACTCACCATCCGCCGTAAGCAAACAGACCGCTGTACAGGGCCAGGCCGATGCTGCCAAACTCATATTTGGACCCCTCAAAGGAATTCTCCGGAAGAAGACCGTCTGTGCCACCTGGAGAAGAACAGAGAGGAAGAGAATTGTTTTAACACAAGAGCAACTTTTAAGCTTTTGAGTAATATATAGAAACATTGAGCTATTTATGTGATAATGTTCTGATGATGGGCTTCAGCTTTTTGCACTGAACCTATGAGGTCACTCTCCACCTGTAGTGGGCGTGGCAGCTGAGTATTAAAATAGACAGAGGAAGTGTTTGTTTTTGGGTTAAAATTATTTATTAGGATTTTTATTTTTGGAAAGTTTACCAGAGTTTATTCTTCAATAAATCATTTTTGTCTGTTGAATTGAACAACATCTCCGTGCATGCTTTTTAGAAAAGTGTGTCACACATCTTCACATACAGTAACATCAGATGGCTTCATAAAAATAAAAGATGAGGATTTGCCAGTTCATCTAGTTCTGTCTGCCTTATTGCTCTGCAGGCAGGGTTACCAACCAGAATCCCAAATATGGGCCAATATGGGAACACGCACCACACAGCCTTTGGAGGGGGGAACACATTGAGCTTAAATCTGTCTGGGTATGTGCATCAGGAAGGACTGCAGAGTGAAATGAAGTTAAGACAGGCTGAGACGCTCAATAAGGAGCCAGACTGTGGGTGGACCTGAGGGGAACAACAGATCACACACACAAGGCAAACAGAAGGGATGTTACACTAAATGTCATATATATTTAAAGCTTTTACCTAACGCAACTTATAACAGGCATCCACTATGAAGATACAAACTCAAAACAACAAGAATCCTGCAAGTACATAAGCCAAATCATTTCCGTGCTACATGCATGCATATTTTTTGGGGCTGCTCTGGGATTCTATTTTCTTTTTGTTGTGTTCACCTGTTTTTTTTTTTTTTTACTTATGTGTTTCTTTCATTGCTTTTTGTGAGTATACTTTATTTAGAGAGACTACTCTGGATTTTTCATTTAACATTTTGTAGTGTTCACCTGTTTTTTTTAAATGTATGTATTACATGTTTGTTTGCACGTTTTATTTGCTTAGTCAAATTTTTCTTATTCGGTTTGAGCTCATATATTTCAAAAATATGATGTAGTGACAACACTGGAATGATCCTTAGCTTTCAATAAGAAACCATCTTAAATATTTTTTTATTTTTTGTTTATGTTTTTCCTTCTTTCACGTTTGTCTTTATGCTTTATCTTTCTTGGTATTTTTTTAACAGTATGTGCTTAAATAATTTTGCTAAAATAAATGACAGATTTATGGTGTAAAAACTGAATACAAATGTTAAAATAATATACTAAAAAACATTCTTTAATAAAACAACACAAATGTGTATGAATGGGCTACAAGATATAGGTATTGCCTTGAGGGCACAGCCTCTGTGAGGATTTATAGCATTTTGGTCCCAGCCCCTCACATCGCTGCTGGTTTGAGGGGATCCGAGTACATTTCTACTGGAGCTGCCCCCCCCCCCACAACAAGCTCCAACATTCTCAGACACAGCGACGGTTGCTAAACCAACACCCTGGAGCAGTGTTGGTACTGGGAGGGTTAGCTGTAAGCTGGTGTCCATGTGACGGACTGCTGTCCTCACACCGCGGCCACAGCATCCCAACATCTGCTCAGTGCTGCCGAGCACGACAGATCTAAAATAACTTCTATCTGTGTTTCTTATGTTGTTCCTCTCATTTTAAAAATCACTTAATCATAATTATGGGATTAAGTGATTAATGTGCACAATCAGTTATTTTGCACATTTGAGAAAAACAACTGATTGTGATTATTTTGCAATCGTGATAAAATATATTCAAATGACCATGGTGTGATTTGTACCAAACAAGAAATATGTGTAAAACAGGCATAATTCATATTAAATTATATTTGCTCCTATTTTTTTTTTTTTTTTTACATAGATTTTGATATTGCAATAGTCCGTATTGCAAATTTGATACATTTTCGATTAATAGTGCAGCTCTAATTCAATAGGCTTCCTTTTTTGTCAAATTAAGAGTTTTCTTTTACCCAACTCTTTGCTATTGTTCTATTAGCTATTTGGTTGATTTTACTTTATGAAAGCAGAGCAAGGCTGTTTAGCTATGTGAATATAAAGATAATAGCCGCTTTCACACCAAGTACTTTGCCGTACTTAGTTCCCAGCACTTAGTACCCCCATGGAACTAAGTACAGATCGCGTTCACACCGAATTAAGTCCCTGGGTGCGTTTCACTTCGGTTAAATGGATTCCTTGCGTCCCTCACTTGCGTCGTTTCCCTGCGACTAGTCCCTCCCATCAGGGAAGCATGGAGAGACGCAAGGAAACCACGAGAAACAGGGAAATGAGTTTTAAGAGCAATGGGACGTCCTTTCCTCCGGAGCATCACGTGAAGCGACGTCGCCGCACAGCTGATCGTCTGACAGTAGCCAGCTCAGTGCATGCGCTGCATCGTCCAATCAGTGAGCGATACACAGTAAGGGGGCGGCGGGGCGAGTGTCTGAGGATTTCACCGGAGGATGGTCTGGCAGTTCCTCGATTATCGCTCCTCCGTTATCACTCCTCGATCCTCCGGCAAAAATAAGGCCACTGGGACGCTACTCAAGATGGCGCAGACAAATCAACTTCCGGTGATACCGAGCCCGAGGAGCGAGGAAATGAAAAATAACCGAAGTGAGACGCACCCCCTGAGGGAAGATTACGCAAATGAAGCCGCTGACGTCACTTCTTCTTCTTCTGCTTTGGGTTTACTGGCAGGCCGCAAACCACTTCACGGCGTAATTCCAGGCACTATCGGAACTAAACGGGAAAAGTAGGGGTAAAAGTACTCCGGTGTGAACGCGCCTAATGTTTCACCATGCCTTTATCCTGGGAAATTGTTTAAAATGTATTTGTCTGAAATAACAATTCAAACTTAAAAAATGACAAATTCACAAGGTTTTATTCACAAAAATGAATGAAATCCAGATAAATAGGTCAACTGTATTAATAAACACTTTTTGGAGAACATAGAGAAATGTACCGAACTCTTACGTGGACATTTTACATCTCTCCCAGACGGCGGAGTTGATGGAACCAGAATTATTTAACCACTGCTAAGTTGAATGTTCTTATCTCTGGACTCTGAGGGTAACTTGTACTTCTATAACAAACTAGATAACATGTTAATGCCCTGGCATTGGCAAATAGCTTTTATTTGATTTGATTACATTCATTCATGTTTAGGTTGAGATTTCCAATAAATATTTTAACTGCTACTGTGTAAAGGTGAATGCTGCTGCACCTCATTTGTTTAAAGTGTTTGCAAACCAAATGTTATAGCACCTTTGTTCATATAGGAGTACTTTAAAAAGTTAATTAATTAATTAAAGTGAGCAATACAATACTTTTGAATTCATTGTGGAATTTTGCGCATAACAAATTCGCGATTAATTGCAGATAATCTTGCGATTAATTGCGAATAAACATAGTAATCGTTGCCCAGCACTAAAAACAACATAATCGTTTAGTTTGTTTTTCCTACACCACAGCTTTATCTGCACACTGTAATCACATCAGACTATAATACACCTCAGGCCTTGGTTGCCCTTTCCTTTACACACACACACACACACTGATACACACACACACACAGCTTCCAAACCTTCAGCTCACCTCACATCAGTGAGGATTGAGCTGTGATTTGAACCTAACCTTTGAAGCTTCTCATCATGGTAAAACTGCAATTTTCTGACCATATTTGACCCTTTCTTTACTTTTCATTTATTGATGAGAACTATAAGAACATAATTTAAGGCCAACCAACAATTAAATCTCCTTTGTGTCAACCTCACAGTCACAGTAAGAGCCTCATTCCTTCTGGTGCTGCTTCCAGATCACTTTCCACCACAGAAAACAGATCAGCCGGTCACATGATACTGGTGCCAGGCGGTGAAAGTGAGACACACACACGTGATGAAATATTTATGCGCCGTTCAGAACACCTGCACTCAAAAAGTGTATTTACTACGAACACAGAGTGAATGAAATCGACCGGAGTCCCCCTTTCGAGTATGTTCAAAGGAGTACAAAATTATCTTTTGTATATCAATATCTCACTCCGTGTTACCTTGAATTCTTTAAGATAACTTTGTTTTTTTTGCTGCTCAGAAAAAACTGAGAAAATTCTTGATGAATTTAAGTAAAGCCGTGTTTAACAGACAGACTATATGAAAACATTGGATATTTGATTATTGTGAGTTTGTAAGCAGATGTTCGTTATAGTTTTGTTGTTTTTCACGGCACTCATCAGTTTAATTCAGCAAGACTTTTATCAGGGATGCAAACTCATCAGGTATGAAAAAGGTGACAAGGATCCGAGCCCCCCGACCCCACGGAATATCGGCTTTAAAATGAGGAATAACAGAGGATTTTAGCAGTCAGAACAACTAAAGCAGCAGTTAATAATAACAGAAACGCCAAAGAGTCACATCTAATAGAAATATATTTAAGCATTTATTTTAATTGTGTAGCAGTCAGTTTATAATTTTGGCAGGACTGTTGAGCATTTTGAAAATGTATTTTCATGCCTGTGCAAGGCTGTCTTTCTATCTTTATAGCCAGTGGTGTAAAGTAACTAAGTTCATAAACTCAAGTACTATACTTGGGTACAATTTTGAGATACTTGTACTTTATTTAAGTATTTCAATGTGTTGCTACTTTGTTCTTCTTCTCCACTACAGTTCAGAGGTAAATGGTGTACTTTTACTCCACTACATGTATTTAATACCTTTAGTTACTTTACAGATGTGGATGAATGATGTGAAATATAATCAAGTGTTAAATCAGACTTTAGTTCCACCTGGAGTAAATTCACAAGCTACCCTGCAGTATACAAAGTCATTCAAACTAGCTGCACCTTTACCAGCTTTGAGAACACTTTCATGATCAATCATTATAAAACATATCATATATATTATTCTGAAATGGACCAATCTGCACAATGACTACTTTTGCTGTCGCTACTTTAACTATATTTTGATGATAATACTTTTCTACTTT